CACACTTCCCTCTCTCTCTGAACGAATATTGCAGGTGAATCATATAATTACAATGAATATTTGGTGGTAGCATTTGGTTCTGGTCCAGCAGCACTTATGAAATCCGGATGTACAATTACTGTACTGATAGCTGTGGAGCGAATTTGTGCGCTCACCTTTCCTCTCGAATATTACTCGATGAATAGAAAATGGTTTGTTGTGCCATTTATGCATGAAGCACCATCACACCAGGCTTACTAGAACAGGAAGTGAAGGCCTTCAGTGAACAGAGATCTGTTTGTCAGGACGTAGGAAAACATGCACTGCAGCAATGAACGCTCGGTACATGCATGTGTTCATGTTTGTCCGTGCAGGTATTTCTACCCAATAACCAAGCAAGCTTAGACGCTAAAGTTTTGTTTTTCTAAGAGTTCTGTTCCAAGAGATGTGACAAAAATTTTCACGAGGTCTACGTCTAATCTACATACATGTGGAGGTTTTAGCGGAAAACTGTTAGTAGCTTTTTAAGCTCAAAAACCAGTTAAGATAGAAAGCTGAAATTTAGAAGAATACTTCATGCTCATACGCTACTTCAAAAATTTTAAAACCCGCTCCCAAACATACCTACGTTTCACTTAAAAACGTTCTCTTTTTAATTCAAGAAATAGGCAAGACAAGAAGTTGAGATTTTGCGAAAATGTTTCGTACCTAGGTCTGACCCGAGGTGTTCCATTCATGTCAAGATCTCATGCAAGAGCACATAAAAGTTTTTCGGAAATTCTAATTTCGGGACTAGATGAATTAGAAAGCTGAAATCTTATGAGGATATGCCCAGGATCCTTCCCATAGGCGTTCCTGAAAATCTGAATTTAGCTTTAACGTACGCTTAATTTCACATACACGTGGGAGTGTGAAGTACGGAATTTCATAACTTTTCAGCTAGCCAACCAGACAAGATGAAAAGTTCAAACTTTTTTTCACAATTCCTGCGTGAAGTACCTACTTAGAAAAGCGGTGAGTACTAACTGTAAGCATGCAGCTCAGGATGGAAGGGCCTGACATGGCTGCACTCATCATATCGGAGCATCCCAGCAACAGTTCTAACATGAGGTGTACCGTTCTTGATATTCATTCATGTTGTTCCCCGTTTTGCGTTACGTCACGTGTACTTTGCACTTTTTATGTGTTTCTGCTCTGCAGTGTTAGAGCGCTGCAACAGGCAGTAAAAACGCATATTGCAACGACCCTGTCAGTGTGTGTGTGTGTGTGTGTGTGTGTGCGTATGTTTGTTTGTGTGTGCGTGTGTGTGTTCATCTCTCCGGATGTTTCAACTCGCCAGTCATGCAAGCTTTGAAGCTGAAATTTTGCCAGTGTGTTTCCCAGCCAAGTGTCACCCCAGGACCGCGGTATCAATTCTCACACACGCCTGA